AGCGTGCCCCCAATATGACAATATCCATGACCCACCTCCCATTTTCTTGTTTTTTATTTTTTACCTTTTAGTGTGTGCTTTGGCGAAGCCCACCTCCCATGTTTTCTTGCTTTTTTCCATGAAGGCAAAGCCGTAAACTGACGGACATTTTCCTGTCTTTTCAGATCAACAGGATACCTTGTCGGCAAAGGTTTTGCAATTACTGCTGGGATTTTTTTTTTTTTTACTACGCTTTTATTTTTTGGGCTTTATTGAGGTGGGCTTTTTGTGTTTCTCTAGATTTCATTCTATTTTATTTCTTAATGGACTTTAGGGTCAAAGATCCCATTGAGTAGGCCAGGAGATTGGCCGACTAACCCACAGATCTCCAATGCCATATCCTGATCTTGGTCTACTTAAAAGTTTAAACCCTTAAAAGTAAACCTGAACGTGAGCCCAACCCAGTGACTTCTCGAAGCCTTATTAATGTGTTGGGCTAAGACAATTGAGCCCAATAGTCTCCATCTTCCGATGTTCGTTATTTCTAACGGTTCAAGCAAACAGAACAAACCAAAAGGAAAAGAATAAAACATTTAGTACTCAATTAGCCAGAAAAATAACTGGGACGAAATTGAAAATCAATTCAAGATCTAGGGATGATAAAAAAAATACTAGAAAAATTTAGGAATTAGGGTTTTAGGCATTGAATTATTTTTGCTTGAGGGTGAAATGTGAATGTATTATGATTTTTATTTCTCTTTTTGACGAGGGTTTTTCGTGTGGGTTTGCAGTAATTAAGGTGGTTAGGCTGTCGATTGCCCAAGTGTAGACAGTGATATCACAAAAGCAAAAGGCAGCATTGAGAGAAGCCTACAAGAACAAGAAGTATTTGCCTCTTGATCTCGGTCCTAAGAAGACCAGAGCTATTCGCCGCCGCCGCCTCACCAAGCATCAGGTTAGCTAGTCCATTGCTAATGCTTTAATTTGAATATATTGGGAATAATTGTCATAAAAATTTGACATTGATGCTTTATATTACTTACGATTTGCTTGCTTGCTTGCTTGTGGTCTGGTCTTATGAGGCGGTAATCAAGGAAGAAACAATCAAAGGAATAATTACTGAAGAATATTATCAATAATTGCATAGATTGTATCAGACTGTTTTCTCATTATTCTTGCCTTTTCCATTTGCTTGAGTTTAGGCTAAATATTAGTCATTAGTCTGTACATAAAGATTGTGTACTGTCCAACCTTTTTACTTAATTCAATTGAATCTTCACATATTCTTCTATCACTCCACAGAAATTATCATGGTATCAGAGCACTAGGTGACAACAAGATTTTGCTGTGGCTTGTGACAGCAAGGCTTTGCTGCAATTGAGACTCAAAACATGGCTGATGGAGACTCCACAACAAAGGTCACCTCTCGAAAGACAGGGGGAGCAAAGGAAACTTTGAAAACAACAGGTATACTCTATCCTATTTCTAACCATCTATCATATGAATCTTTCTCACCAAATCACATAACCTTACTTGCGGCCATCACTTCCAATGATGAGCCTCGTTCATTTTTGCAGGCCATTAAGAATGAAAAGTGGAGAGAAGCAATAAGGAAAGAGATCACTGCCCTTGAGAAGAATGGCACTTGGACACTTGAGGGTTTACCTCCCGATAAACAAGCTATTGATTCGAAATGGGTCTACAAGATTAAGTACAAACCAGATGGTTCGATCGAACACTATAAGGCAAGACTTATGGCCAAAGGTTTTACACAAATTGAAGGCTTGGACTACCATGAAACATTCGCCCCTGTTGCAAAGATGGTGACCGTAAGAGTACTTCTGGCACTTGCTTCCATTAGGTGATGGGAACTACACCAACTCGATGTGAACAATGCTTTTTTGCAAGTTGATTTGCAAAAGGAGGTTTACATGAAAATTCCACAAGGATTTACTTTTCGGAATAGTAATATAGTGTGTTGATTATGGAAATCTCTCTATGGATTAAAGCAGGCCTCTCGCAATTGGTTTGAGAAGTTCACCAACTGTCTAAAGGCTACAAGTTTTGTTCAATCACTTGTTGATTATTCACTCTTTACCTTTACTCATAATCACAGCTTCATTGCAGTTTTAATATACGTGGATGACATCATTATCATTGGCAATGATACCACAAGAATCAACGCTCTAAAGAAGTATCTGCACATAAAGTTCTCCATAAAAGATCTTGGGCCTTTGAAATACTTCTTTGGAATTGAGGTGGTATGTACCACTGAAGGAATTATCTTAAGTCAAAGAACATATGCCCTTGACATCCTCACTGAAACAGGGACTATTGGAGCTCGGCCAAGCCCTTTTCCTATGGAGCAGCATCACCAATTACATTCTACCACAGGGCCACTTCTTTCGAATCCTACTCAATATTGAAGATTGGTGGGGCGTCTCTTATATTTGATAATCACAAGACCAGATATCTGTTATTTTATGAGCATACTTACACAATTTATGCAAAACCCAAGGCAAGAGCATCATGAAGCAACCATGAGAGTATTACGATACATCAAGACCTCACCTGGACAGGGTATTCTCCTATCCTCTACAAGTCCAATCCACCTTACGGCCTATTGTGATGCC